TCAATTGCTGGCTTAAACGCCCAGAACACGTAATTGAATATGTATTCTGGTGTTCCCGAACTCCGCTCAAGCTTCCATTCAACAACTGTCCCGGGGTTAAAGTGCGGCCATGTACTTTGGCAGAGATGCAAATGACTTATCCCAATTACCGTAGACAATTTCAAANGCTCGTTTGCGCTCGAGAAATGCCTTTCTTTTCGTAATGGTATGGCTATATTCCTGGTGGACTAATGTAATGCACTCTTTGATTTTATACCTTATGGGCGCTTCGAGGTGCGGAATACGTACAAGATAAATCAAGTCAATATCCAAGTTGAAGTGATTCCCGTTGAATGTGTCCATTTCACATGTGTGGGTGGGAATATATTTACCTACTTTCCACATACCTGTCTTCTTCTTAGTTGCAAGCAACATCCAATTATATGGCCAAAACCACCTGCGTCAAACAACCTTGTATACCATCGGACTTGACTCCCATACCTGCATCTCACGACACTCTTTTACGTTGTGTATTTTACAAGCCTTGCTTACGCGCGCTTTATCAGGAAAAAGCATCCCCTTTGCAAGCACCGTTGGTCTAGACTCATCCCACATTGCTGTCCGAATTTCATCAAAATCCCTTGTGAGAGCTTCCACATCCGGCACGATTGGCAAGTTATCAATGTAAGGAATCTCCCTTGAATGAAATGGCACTTCTGACTCGTACACTCTTCGTCTAGGGGGCCTCTCTTCAAATAAGGCCTTCCTCCTCATCCTGCGGATCACCATCCTCACGAGGAAAGGGTGTCTCGTCTCCGGATTCATCGGCATTGTTATCGTAATCACTGTTCTGTTCCTCACTCTGTGCATCTGCCAGATCCCGATGTAATACGTCGTTTTCGGGCAATTGAGTGAGTACGGGTGGTTCAACTTGCTCGTTTTCACTGCACAACCAACAAAAATATAAGCTATTGAATTAATAAATGCTTTCCATATGTCTATATCACTTCACTTACAAGTCGTAATGTGATGAAATTCCATGATAGACGTTTTTAATTAGATGATGACTACCGGATGGGCCACTTGTAAAATTGATATCCGGCCGGTACCCCCTATTAAATATATAAGCGTTAATACAAATTCAATACACAAAAAATATACATAATTAACACAAATGAAAATTGAAGTTTACTACTCGTCTTGTAAATTATGGAAAGCAGGGTATAAATTATTTTCTCGCTGCTCATTCGCCGGCGGTGATAAGTTTAAATCAAGGAAGACACTTTCATCCGGAACCTATCCGGCAAAAACTGCTCCAGAATAACCACCCGATGACTAGAGTTTATCTCTACTACGCACAACCTCGTTTTTTGGAAGGCCTTCGACCTTCACGTACATCTCCAACATTGTAATTACAAGAAATTCCTGGCATTCATATGGAGTCCTTAGAAAATCACTCAAAGTTTCATCCTCGTCGATGTTAAACGCCAAGTAAAAAGCAACTCCTTGCGGAGTGACGAAATACGGATATCTTCCGGTTACTTTAAGTATCACTGAATGTTTCATCACACTCATTTTTTTGCATAACAACGATATCAATTTATCATACTCCATTGTAAGTGGCAATTTAACATGACACTGAGCAGGTAAACTGTAGCCCACAGAGTTATTCTCCATCACAACCTCACCCCCCCTCCAATATAATGAAACTCTTATTCTACGCTCTTCAGACATAATGAAAAAATGCTGGAGAATTTAACAACAATAAATGTTTCAACAAGAGTATGAAAATGGCTAGCCGGGAAATTTCTATGCTATACACCTTTTGAATGAATTTCTATACAATCGAGCTAGGGATTTTCGACCCTTTCTCCAATGAGTCCAGAACCAAAATGTGGTTCTTTTGGACAAGTAGCACCTTAATAGGTGTAAAACAAAAGATAACATTTTTATATATAGCGCCCAAATACTGGGCGTTATACATTAACGTTAACTGTGTCGTTAATATATAGCGCCTAGTATTTGGGCGCTATATATAAAAAGGTGACACTATATGTATAGCGCCCAAATACCCGGTGCTATACATAAAAATTTATGTATATGGACGCTATATACCTTTTTCCTAGCTCCACTAATAATTCCTGACTTCAATAATTCAAAAGCGTATAGTGCCCACTTTTTGGGCGCTATATATAAAAAAAATCTGGCTAGCCATTTTCTATATAAAGAGGTTAGGATTGTATAAAAATTCATTCAAAAGGTGTGTAGCATAGAAATTTCCCGGCTAGCCATTTCCATACTCTTGTTGAAACGTTTATTGTTGTTAAATTCTCCAGCATTTTTTTATTATGTCTGAAGAGCGTAGAATCAGAGTTTTATTATATTGGGGGGGAGAGGGTGAGGTTGTGATGGAGAATAACTCTGTGAGCTACAGTTTACCTGCTCAGTGTCATGTTAAATTGCCACTTACAATGGAGTATGACAAATTGATATCGTTGTTATGCAAAAAAATAAGTGTGAGGAAACGTTCAGTGATACTTAAAGTAATCGGAAGATATTTGTATTCCGTTACTCCGCAAGAGGTTACTTTTTACTCGGAGTTTAACATCGGCGATGATGAAACTTTGAGTGGTTTTTGGAGGACTCCGGATGAATGCCGAAAATTTCTTGTAATCACAATGTTGGAGATGTACGTGAAGATCGAAGACCTTCCAAAAAACGAGGTTGTGCGTAGTAGAGATAACCCCCAGTCATCGGGTGTTTATTCTGGAGCATTTTTTGCCGGAAAGGTTCCGGATGAAAGAGTTTTCCTTGATTTAAACTTATCACCGCCGACGAATGAGCAGTGAGAAAATAATTTATACTCTGCTTTCCATAATTCACAAGACGAGTGGTAAACTTCAATTTTCATTTGTGTTAATTATGTATATTTTTGGTGTATTGAATTTGTATTAAAGCTCATATATTTAATAGGGGCTACCAGCCGGATATGAATTTTACGAGTGGCCCATCCGACAGTCATCACCTAATTGAAAACGTCCATCATGGAATTCTAAATTAAAATACTACACATTACTACGCTACAAGACTCTAAATTTTACTACGCTAAAAGGGTCTACATTTTACTACGCTAAAAATATCTAGATTTTACTACGCTAAAAAATAATCTAAACTAAACATAAACAACAAATAAATTTAGTTGCAAATAAAATACAAACGGCATGAAAACGCATATATATAAATCAGGATATTAACAGACAAATTTATTTGAAAAATTTATATTTTTTTTTATAAAACACTAATATTAAATCCGGATAAATTTAACATACTAGTTTCGAAAAAAAAAACACAATCCGAAATAAAACACATATAAATCAAATAATATGCATTATTATAAAAGTTTCAATTTAAAATAAACCGAAATACCTCGATTTAGAATTTTCTGAAAGCAAATAGATTGAGATTGACTCCGAAAGTGTGAATCAACAATAATACGAAGCTCTACTTGAATGTGGGACCTACGTTATTCACATTTTATGTAACGGGGGACCCAATTTTTTTTTTAAATGGTGGGGCAGCGGATATGAGAGTGGAGGACCAAGAAGAAGAAAATGTTAAATATTGAGGAAGATGAAGCAGAATCGTCGTCTTGAAGAAGACGATCGATTTTTATAAAATATGTATAGCGCCGGGTATTTGGGCGCTATACATATAGTGTCAGTTTTTTATGTATAGCGCCCAAATACTGGACGCTATACATTAACGGTATAATTAACATTAATGTATAATACCCAGTATTTGGACGTTATATATAAAAAATATCATCTTTTTTTTACACCTATTAAGGTACTATTTATCAAAAAAAAAATCACATTTTAGTTATGGATTTTCTCCAATGGCGGTCCACATGCCTTTCCCACAACCCCATTGCTCATTTACTCTCCGGCCGCACCAAATCACTGCTGTCCGTACATTTCCCTAAATATCCTATCTTATTATCTAAATCCAACTACAACGCCTACGTGGCCCTTCTTCAACTACATTCGCATTCCATCTCCAGCATCCATATTCAAGGATATTCATTAAAAATGATTATTGTCTCTTCAACACGCTTCTCACGCAGGCTTCATTCAATTATTTTTCATTGGCCATGCACAAAAAATTCAGTACACTCTAATTCAGGGCTTCGAGCGGCTCTAATACCAATATGAAAGAAAACATTATAGTATGTTATGTAATTGGCTTTACAAAATAATACTACGTTCCTATTCTTTTTAGTTTTCTTACTTCTCACATTAAACGTTTAATTAGAGGTAATTTAGTCATAGTAGATATTCTTTTATAAAATTTAGTATTTTCTTAATGAGCGTAATAAAAGCAAAGAGTATAAAACTATGAATGATCTTTGTGCAGACGCACGCTTTAAAATGAACCAACAACAATAATATGCTAGTATATTCTTACCGTGTAGGATCTCAAAAGAATAATGTGTATGCAGATCCAACACTTACCTACGGAGGTTGAACCATAATGGATAATGCAAGTTCTATCATTGATTAAGCAGTTAAGGAAGAAAATGGATAATTAATGCAACGAGTAGAAATGAATAGTACACCAACACGTACACAATTAACATTTCATAAGTTGTTCCCTATACTTCGTTCACAATTAACTTGACTTTCACAATTAAGATACACTTGCATAAATATCTAAATATACCCCTCGCCGGGAAGTTAAACAAAAAGAAAAAGTAATTAGCGTGGAGAGGTCAGTTACATTTCCATATTGAAATTATAAACATCAAACCCTAACTCCAGCCAAATCTAAAACAGGTCTAAACTTAAAAATATGAGAATTTAATATACATACCAAACATATATAATTCTCCACTTCTTTTCTCAAAATTCCAACTTCGTTTATTTTTATCTGATATTTTCAAAGGTTAGAAAAGGAGAAAAAGATCAAGGGAGAAAATTAAGGGAATGATCATTTTCACTCCACTGTGTTTGACTCCAGTAAGATTGATCAACGGTTCCCGTTAAATCATACAGCCCATGTTCACCATCTCCACCCCCACCTCCAGTTTGCCAATCTAGTGGAGCGATCTCATTGTTGTTTACCCTGCTCTGCTGTAACCCAAACTCGACCCGACCCGTTTGATTCATGAAACCAGTATCCATTTGTTCCATCTTCAAGTCATTAACCGGCTGATCTGTTCCCACCATCTTCGCCGGTTGATTCCAATGCTCATTTGAGTTCTGGTTTTCCGGCAACCGGTACGCCGGCATCTCCATCATGTTAAACCCTACTACCGATGGATCGTTCGACGACGTCATCAGGTTCGTAAAGTTCCCAATGTCCTGGAAAATATGGCCTTCGGCAGAATGATCTATTAATGGCTGATGATCAAAGCTTGAGTTCGTACTAGTAGGTAGGAAGAAGTTGGATTCGTGAAAGTTGAGAAAAGTTGAAGCTGAGTTTGAAGAAGCTGCCGACACAACCTCAGCGGTGGCAGCACCGGAGGTATTCGCTGCTGCGGCGGCGGTTGTGGTTGCAGTAAGGCTGGAACTTTCACTGCTAGAATTAGAGTTTGACTTATGTTCCTCCGAAGCCTCGTCGGCAGCTTCGGCAGCAGCGTCGGAAGGAGGAGCGGGCTTTGGTTTTGAACGCTTGCTTTTCCGGCAGCCACCACCGACGGGAACGTTACGGAGGACTCCTCCTTTAGTCCAGTATCTCCGGCAACTTTTGCAGAAGTGTCTCGGCTGAGAAAGATTGTAGTTATTATAGTAACAGAACTTTGTGTTTGGAGAATCACAACGTGGACACTTTAAAACTTGCTGGTTTTGGTGATTGTTAGGCCTTAACCTCCTGTCTCCTCCACCACCAAAAAACCGTCCTCCACCGCCGCCGATCGGATGTATATCTTGCATTTCTCAAACAAATACTGTAAATATGAACGTAGCAGCTTATATTGGCGTTTTCCCGGTGAAGTTTCCGGCGAGATTTCACATTTGCCAACTTTAAAACCTGCGACTCTGAGTATAGCAGCTTCTTTTAAAGCAGAGAGATTTATCTGACAAATATCCTTTGCATATCTTCCAAAAAAATAGTGTTAACTTATATTTAAATGTTTTTATGATTAAAAACAGGAAAGAAGACGAAAAGACATAAATGTCCCTAATGTACTGTTAAATTACTATTCGGACTCTGCGGAAAATGTGGAGTCCATTTTGTTTGTGTTTCTTTGTTGTTACGACGATGGTTGAGTGAGTGGGGGTCGACATGGTTCGACCGTGATGTGACCGTACAGTCCGTGAAAATGGGATGATTTGTGTTGTGTGGACGAGAGTGACACGTGAACGGTGGAGAGTGAGTTGATTATTAACGATTACGAATCATAGGGTGTTGAGTTGTCGGCCAATACGATATTTCTGTAGTGGGTAGCTTGGTGTCAGCTACAACAGATCCACAACTTGCCACGTTGTTGTTAATCCGCTTTGTTTATGGGTTGCTGGCGGCAACTGTTTTGATGTTCCTTTGTTTGCGAAAAATCTTAAAATCACACTATTTTGATTAAATTTAGAAATAATTCTTGACATCTTATCAAAATACAAGTATCAAAATACAGGCGGACAATATTTCTTTTTTCTTTTCTATCATCTACAGTTTACACTATCACTATTTGTATATCATGCTTCTTTATAATTTTAAAATTAAGTAAATAATCTTTTTAGATTTTTTATGTATAAATAACAGATCTATTACGTATAAAAATAAATTTTTTATGTGCAAAAAATAGATAAAATTATAAAATTAAAAAAAATTATGAAGAGCCACGAAAAAAATTGACCTAGAGAATAGGAGAGGAAGGTATTTGCGTAATATGAAGTTCCTGAAATGACGTCAACATATTGTTTATACTACAATTTGGATGAGCCAGAACAGAAGTTAAGGCCCACTCAAGGATTACTTTGTATTGTGACCAGTTGAATTAGTTAACCACTATTGGACGTGTTTAATATCAAAAATGAGTCAAAAGTAATATAGGTAGTCCAATTTGGGTAAGAAATTGTTGGCGAAATGACTTCTTGGCCACTTAAACCTTGTAGGGCTTTTGAAAGCCGATACATAAACTTTTGTCTTTCCCATTTAAACACTCAAACTCCTGAAACCTATAACTAATAAACACAATTGACCGTTGACCCATCCCATGTGGCGTCAGTTGGTCCTAGTCAGCCCCCTGCGTGAATGTCACGACTTTTAGGAGCGTGAGAGACCCCCTTCCTAACGCCCAACGGTAAAAAATAGGGCCTATTTAAGTGAGGTCTTATTCTTTCAATTGGATACACATTATCCCTCTATTATATGCATTTGAAGCTTCATTTCGCCTATTTCTTAAAATCTGAAGTTTTCTTTAATTTTTTTTTCTTTTTCCAGATTGTGATAATGAATCAAAGTCCTGTATTTTGTCATTGTGGAGTCGAAGCTCATATTTGCATCACTTGGAAGCTAACAAATCCAGGAAGGAAGTTTTATGGGTGCTCAAACTATGGTCGAGCCAATTCTTGTAATTTTTTTAGGTGGTTTGACCCACCTCTTCCAGATCACTATAAACAGGTGATTTCAGGGCTGTTATCAAGAATTAAAGAGAGAGATCGACTACAACGTAGTAAGAGGGTGAAGATCATTGTAACTTTAGTTGTTGTAGTAGCACTAATAATTATACTTTTCTTCTTAGTGTAGTTAGCACTAACTTCATAACCCTATATACAATGATAATGACGGAATGAATGATGTACTTTTTGTGGAATGAAAAGCAATTTTAACATAAACAAGCACACATATATAAACAACCAAGTTCGATCAGCCTTCTTGGTTGACAAAATTAGTACTGAACTGCTGTCTAGTAGCAGAAATAGTTTAAACATTGTTCCAAAAGAAAAGTCATAGTTAAACAGATTTAAGTTAACCTACAAATTAAGTTCTGCAATTAACAGACTTAACTTACCACAAAAACAAACAATCAGTCAGCTTCAAGGTTGAGATTGGTTGATGTTTTGCTGAGATTGGCTCAAGTTTGGACATGGAGACTGCTTGGCTGAGATGAAGAATGGACTTGAGGTTGGCTAAGGCTTGCTTGAGTTTGTTTTCTCCTCAACTGTTGTTGAAGTTGCCTTTGTGATATAGCATTTCTTCTTTGCCACCTTAGTCCAGGTGCACTGTATCCAAGATCGATATTGGTCTGCCCAGCATCCACTACTTTTGTAGGAGCAGAATGTGCCCTATCTCTTGCTCCACACTGCTTATGAAGCCAAATTAGTACCCAAACTACTAATATATAAATAAAAATTCAAATCCTTAATGATCTTACCATTTCTATCACTGTTCATGTATCACTAAACAATATACCAAATCCAGTAGTTCTTGGTCTTCCTCGTAGTCCACTACCTCTTGGCCTTCCTCTAATACTAGCTATAATATCCTCAGAAGTTCTTGATCTCGTACTTCCAGTATCCTGATGTAAGATAAAGTACTTTCTTGTAATTTAAAAATTTTGGTCCTAATACAGATTAACTAAATTAACTAAAATGAATACTTACAGATGTACTTGCAACAACTGATGGTTGAGTATTTCTGTCCCTGGCAGTTCCAGAATCACTTGTAGGACCTGATTGTTAAGTTGTTGTTTGAGCAGCCTGTGATGGTTGGGTAGCACCAGCATTACTGGTTCATGTTGTTCCAAATCCTTGTCCTTTATGAAATTTCCAAAATAAAAAATGAGATATAGAAACAACCAAAGTACAACACATAATCAGATACAAATTGAATGCATTACCAGGATAGGACACCCCTTCTTGTTATGACCTACTGTCTTACAATTAGAGCATGTCATTGGTGTCCCTTTCCTTGATCTCTTACCAAACTTCTTCTTAGGTTCATCTTGAGCTCTTTTTCTATTTTTCTTAGGTCTACCAGGCATCTTGGTAATCACAGGAGGCTCAACAGTTAGATTCTGTATTGATGGCCACATCTCCATGTTGGTTACTGGCTGTATGTGCAACTAAAAGCCTTCAGGTATGTTTCTTTCTTGTACCAGTGGGTTACATAGTCAGCAGACTCAAATATCTTAAAAAATATTGCACATATTGCATGGGAGCATGATATTCCTTTGAGTTGCCATGATCTACATATGCATGTATTGTTGGAGAAGTCAACAATATGTTTTTAAACCCCATGTTGTATCTCATACCCAGTATCCCCATTCCATTTAAATTCATGCTTAACAACATATTGAGATTGTTCCTCTATGTACCCCATTGCCATAGAAGATACATCAGAAATCCACCTTGTTGCAAATTCTCTCATGGTAGTCATCCTCTCCATCAACTTCACTCTAATCTCTTCTAACATGGTTATGATAGACTTGTGCCTAACGTACAAGATCCAACTGTTAAAGGTCTCACACATGTTGTTCTCCACAGAATCACATTTACTCCAATCTTTGAAGAATGTTCTACACCAACATTGTTTTGGGTATCTCAGCAAGTCCTCAATGATCTTACTATCACCTAATTCTGCCAGCTCAACTATCTTAGCCTTCAAATATGCTTCAAATTAAGCCCTTGCACAGGCCCAAAACTTCTTCCTTCTTTCCTCCCCTTTCCACTTTTGTTTCCAGTTGCTCCATATGTGTCTTGAGCACATTTTGTGCTCAGCATTTGGTAACAACTCAGAAACAGATGCAACAAGTCCCTTAAGCAACAAAAAAAAATTAGAATATCAGAAACATATATAAAGTATCCAAGTAATTAAAAGAAGACCAGGGGTGTAGTATATACCTTTTGCATATCAGAAATTATGGTCAGCCCCTTACCTTGGGATTCAGTGAGCTGTAGATCATGCATCAGGCACCTAAAAAACCATGACCATGTGTGCTTTGTCTCCTTTTCCACCACTGCCCAGGCAACAGGGTACATTTGGTTGTTACCATCTTTACCAATGCATGATAATAGCTCACCCTTACACACACCCTTTGGAAATGCTCTATCAAAGCTAATAACATTTCTACACCCTTTCAACCAACCAACTTTACAAGCATGTAGACAAATATAGATACCCACAAACACCTCCTTACTAGGTATTGTCTTATTGGAGGTCTTCACAAAAACAGTGCTGCCAGGATTTGTAGACCTCAACATGTCAGCATAATCATATATTCTGGCAAACTCCTTCTTGTAATCACCAAGATATTGACCCATGACCTGATGTTTAGCCCTAGCACATATGGATTTTCCAACATACATAACATACTTTATCCTAATCAAATCCTACAACTTCCTAAGCTTAATGTCAGGTTGGTTGATAATCTTGTCCTTGAAATGTTTAGCTACCCATGTTGTATTAGACATCTTGTTTTTGGTTGCTCTAAAACACTTATGAACAGGATAGTAGCTCTTGACAATGAAATTCCCTGTGTGTCCCTCCAAACTTCCCAAAATATGCCATCTACACCTTGTTGAGTTCACACATTTTGCCCTAACCCTATGTTGTTCATTAGGCCTCAACTTAATTTGAACTCTTCTTTGTACAGTATAATCTTGCAAAGCAGATCTGAACTGTTTCACATTTTCAAACACCATTTCCAACTGGAAATAAATTTTCTTACAAGCAGGATCAAAGTGTACCCTACTGCTGTATCTTCTTGGTTGAGGGTTATGCACCCCATCTTCTTCATCTACTTCATCATCTGTATCCTCACTACTTGGATCTGAACTGTCCAGATATTGCTCATCCCCTCCCAACTTTCCAGTATATTTGAATCCCATATCTTTATACATGTCTTCAAAACCAGGGTCTATACCTACAGGTCCACTAGGTATCTCATCAGTATTAACTTCAGAAGATCTTAATTTACTACTCTTTGCATTCA